CACAGAATTAACATGCTGCGCCGCCGGTTAGACGTGTTACAGGAGGATCGGGCACCTCAGGCGATTGTGGAATATTTGGCTGCCGACATGTCAGGATGAGATCTTTTGGAAGCAACGCTCTAAGTAGCTTTGGCTTCAACACGGTGATGCTAATACAAGCTATTTCCACAAGGCAGCATCGGCTCGACGTCGCCGGAATTTGTTGACGCGCATTAAAGATCAGGGTGGGGTCTGGAAAGAAGGCACTGACATGAATGCAGAAATATTAAGGTATTATGAATGTATTTTCTCGTCCGGTACTAGTAATTCGGATCTTTTCAGTCGCGTGCGGAGACGGGTAACGGATGAGATGAATGTCTCTCTGTTACAACCGTTTACCGTCGCAGAGGTCAAGGCGACCCTATTTTCTATGGCCCCGGAGAAGGCACCAGGGCCTGACGGCATGACGCCGGCCTTCTATCAACATTTCTGGCCGGTGTTGGGTCATGACTTGGCCATGTTCATTCTTCGTTGTGTGGAGAATAAAAGCCTGCCGGAGGGAATGAATGATTCAAATATCGTTCTTTTGCCTAAGAAAAAGAGCCCAGAAAAAGTCTCCGATTTGCGCCCGATTGCATTGTGCAATGTGGTGTACAAAGTTCTAGCCAAGATGTTGGCAAATAGACTTAAAAGTAGCCTGGAAATGGTTGTGTCACCGTCTCAAAGCGCTTTCGTCCCTGAAAGGTTATTGACGGATAATGTAATCGTGGCCGGGGAAATTGGGCATTACCTGAGATGGAAAACGAATGGGGCTGTCGGGTGGGCGGGGCTTAAGCTAGACATGGCTAAAGCGTACGACCGGATGGAATGGGTGTTTTTGAAAGGGATGTTACACGCATTGGGTTTTGACACGGAATGGCTTCAACTGCTGATGATGTGTGTGACTACTGTGAAATATACTATTCAGGTTAATGGTGAGCCAGTAGGCACGGTTAACCCCACGAGGGGTATTAGACAGGGAGACCCTTTATCTCCGTACCTATTCATTATGTGTGCTGAGGGGTTGTCGATTTTATTACAGCAGGCGGAGGCAAGGGGGGAGATTCATGGGGTGCGTGTGGCGCGGGGGGCCCCGACCATCACACATCTATTTTTTGCTGACGATAGTCTTGTGTTCTTTAGGGCCAATCAGCAGGAAACTTTAAAGATCAAGGACTGCCTGAATTTATATTGTGCTGCTTCGGGGCAACTTAACAATTTTGATAAGTCCAATGCTGTGTTCAGCTTAAACACATCGGGGCAGGTGAAAAGTTAGATTTCTGATTGTCTGGGCGTAAATGTTGCATCTGACTTAGGCCGGTATCTAGGCCTACCTTCGGTCCTGGGTCAGAATAAGGTCAGTACTTTTCGTTACATTGAGGAGAAGGTGCGAGAACGGATCGGGAACTGGCAACATAAACTCCTTTCGAGGGCCGGTAAGGAAGTGTTGTTAAAGAGCATAGCGCAAGCTATGCCTATATTTACAATGTCCATGTTTTTATTGCCGCTACGGACTTGCGATTCGCTGAAGAAGTTGTACAACCGGTTTTGGTGGGGGGGCGACGGCACTGGCACGAGGGGAATTCATTGGCTCAGTTGGGAACGAATTTCCTAAATCAAGCGGGGGATTGGGTTTTAAACGCCTCCACGAGTTCAATGTTGCTTTGCTCGCGAAGCAAGGTTGGCGCATTCTGATAAAGCCGGAGTCACTCGTCAGCCGTATTCTGAAAGCAAAATACTTTCCGAAATGTGAGTTCATGGAGGCACAACCCGGGGGGAACCCGAGGTATATCTGGCGGAGTATTCTTGCGAGACAGAAGGTGTTAAAACTGGGGTTAGCCAGGCGGATTGGGGACAGACACGACACAAAGATATGGGATTGGTCGTGGCTTCCAGACACAACAAACCCGAAACTACTCACGGCTCACATTACCGAGTTACGTGATGCCACGGTAAGCGGCTTATTAGATGAGAATGGTGCATGGGATGTGGAGGTTGTACATGATTTATTCCAGGAGGAAGATGCCAGGAGGATCGTTGCTACGCTGGTGAATACCCAACACAAAGACTCATGGAGGTGGTTAGGCGATCTTCGTGGACTGTACAGCGTGAAGCATGGATACCGATTAGCTTCAACAAATCATGGTCAACTCGGCATGGTGGATGAGTTTCAGATTTGGAACAAGCTATGGTCGTTACCAGTTCCTCCGAAGGTGAGAAACCTTCTATGGCGTTGCGCTCGCAGAGTATTACCAGTGCGTGAAAATCTGAAGTCGAAGCATGTGTTCATCGGAGGTGGTTGTCCCCTATGCAATTATCATTCCGAGACGCCAGAACATCTCTTTTACGACTGCTGCTACGCACGAGATCTTTGGGGGCGGGTGGATATGTTGCAGGGTCGTAATCTGCAGGCATGTATGAAGGCTTGGTTCGAATCATCCACGGCGGAACAGGCGATAGAGGCAGCCGCAATCTTCTGGATCATATGGACTGGACGTAACGATGCGGTTTGGCGTAGCATTCAGCCGTCTACCACGTTTTTGCGTTCGCAGTTGGCGACCTTATCTGCTTGCTGGGCAGCTACGTATCACAAAGGATCCCAGCGGGGAACGCGTATCATGCTCGCGGCCACTTGGCAGCCACCATCGCGTGACATGTTAAAATGCAATGTTGATGCAGCAACCTTCTCGGCTGGAGCAGGCTATGGTGCTGTTGTTCGTGATCACGATGGCCGGTTCATAGCGGCGAGAAGCGGTCGAATTGTGGGCAGCCGGGATCCCCTAATGTTGGAAGCAATTGCGCCTAAGGAAGCGTTGACGTGGCTCAAAACCTCCCATTTTGAGAATATCATTCTTGAATCCGATTGTATTAATTTTTGTAACGCTTTCAATTCTAGTAGTACGGACTACTCGTACGTAGGGGTGATAGTTAAGCAATGTCGTGCTATTGCTAATGACATAGGTAATGTAAATGTTTGCCATGTCAAGAGAACAGCGAATCGTGTGGCTCATGAGTTAGCTCGGGCAACCGGTTCTTCTTCTGTCTCTAGAACGTGAGAATTTATCCCACCAGCCTGTATTTCCGGTTTATTAAGCTATTAATGAAGTTGTTTGCTTTTGTTTCAAAAAAAAAATGTAATTAATAAATTTAACTCGCCTGTTATCCATTATTGATCAATTATTAATTATTAATGATAACTAGTATTTTCACTCGTGCATTGCACGGAATGGATTTGTTATAATATTTTAAGAATATTTAGATCGATATACAATTGTATAAATTATAACGGCGAATATTATATAGTGCAATTGAATAATTGAGTTTGATCGATTATATTTTATGATGTTATCATTGCTTGAATTCGAGCAAATAATTGTCCAATTAATAGCTAACGTGTAGATATACGCATCCGGTGCTGAAACTTTAGAGATTTTATATATCAGTGTTTAACATTTGTATCAATTGGGCTAATTAATTAGCTCGTTGTCTAGCAACTCAGTTATATAAATTATTTGTATGGAAGATATATATTTTTTATGTAGATATATAGCAATTTTGCCATCTTTGTATAAAAAGAAAACATAATATCACTGGTTTGAATTACACATTATTGAAAACCTCTTTGTAGAAGACATCGGTAGTAGTAACAGAATTTTGTCCATCCCCGTGTAGAGCTAAAGCCTTCAGGCCACCAAGATGGGTGATGGGTGACTCAGGAAAAAGTCACTGTGAGTCTGTGACACCACGAAAATCCTATCCTTTAAATAGGATTAATTGGATAATTAATCCTAAGTCATCCTTGCAGACTTTCTTATCAATTTTTCAAATTGATAGTCGGAGGACTTAAATTGACCAACTCCTTGGTCAATTGATTTAAGTCTAAAAGGGAGACCTTTGGCTTTGATGGTTGTATCTAACTCTTTGGGGTCTTCCTAAGTTTTTCTGGGAAAGTAAGTGCACTATAGTCTTTTCTCATTTGCTTGGTCTTGAAGCCTTACCCTATCAAGCCTAAATCTCATTTCCCCAATTTGACAAGAAAACTTGAAGGTTTCTTAAATAAGAACATTTTTGACTTCTCAATACTTGCTACATTAATGTGCAAACAATTATGTTTGTACATCTTATATAGAAGAGCTCAAGAGCTCATCTTTTCAAACATTTTCAATGTGGGATCAAAATGATCCCACATCATTTACAAAGGGAGCTCGTGGGTTCCCTTTGTTCTTTTTTTTTTTTTTTTTTTTTTTTTTTTTTTTTTTTTTTGATTTTAATTTTGTTTTGTATATGGTTTTGTTTGGATTATTATTATTATTATTATTGTTGTTGTTGTTGTTGTTGTTGTAATTTGATCATTTGACAAATTAGCTAAAATTTTAAGAAATTCGTCTGTTTAACATTTTATATTTAATCAAAACACCAAAAATATTATTTAATAACTTAACAATTTGCTCCAAACGGTTAAAAACTAAAACAACGTATATACATTTTGGGTTAATCTTTCTCAAACCCCCTAATAAATTAAAAAATTAAAAAAAAAAACAAATAAGAAGCCACTAAATAAGGTTTCTTAAATAAGAGCCTTTTGACTCGTTGTGCTTCAATAGGTTGATAAAGTTTATATTAACAGATATTACATGTAACTGGGGGAATTGAATCAATCATTATTGCATGGACCATGGTCCACAAAATTGTATGGATCATAAATAAAAAATATATTTTTAATATATTAAGGGTACATTATTTATGTACGTAAGGTACATTTTTTAAAAATACATTTTTAATATACTAAGAGTATATTATTTTATATAATGTACCTTAAGTACAAATATAATATACTTTTAATATATTAAAAATGTACCGACACCTCAATAATCATGTATTTTTTTTCTAAAATTCTAATTAGATACGGAGTAGTATTTTTCTTTTCCTTTTCAGTAAAATGTTCTCTTTTTCTTTAATTTTGTTTGAAAGAAAAATATCTCCGATTGGGCGGTTCTCAATGGCATCCAAAATACTGAATAGCTGATGACTTCCCATTCTGCAGATAAGCCCATCCTCTTTTTCACTCTCGCCGGCCGCAGATTCCAATCTTTTTTATTTTCTCTGTAATACTGATTTCTGTCTATGAATTTCAAGCAACCATCCTTCTGAAATTCATGCCCAAATATACTCCACCGGAATTTCTTCAAATATGGCTATAGATGTACTTAATTCCTCAACATTCTGTTGCGCTCATTTCAATTGCATATCCGTAACTGACACTGCGCCAGGTAAGAGCTCGCTATCACTGTGGGTTTCAATTAGTAATGGGCCACTTAGAGGCAGAAAGTTTGAATCTTTGAAGGTTTTAAGGCGCGGGTCTGTGGTAAATTGGAAGAAAACTAGAAGAAAGAATGTGGGTGTTTGGCATAATGTGATGAACACTTCGAATGGGAATCTCAACAGTGGGATTTCTTCAGAGGAAGTGTTTGGGATCTTGAAGTCGTTTTCAGACCCGAATCAAGCCTTATCTCTGTTTAATTCTGTTGCTGAGCTGCCTAAGGTGGTTCACACTACAGAAACGTGTAATTACATGCTTGAGCTTTTGAGGGTTCATGGGAGGGTCAGTGATATGGCTATGGTGTTTGATGTGATGCAAAAACAGATCATTTATAGGAATCTGGACACTTATTTGACCATATTCAAAGGTCTTCATATAAGAGGAGGGATTAGACTGGCTTCATTTGGTCTTGAGAGGATGAGAAAAGCAGGTTTTGTGTTGAATGCATATTCCTACAATGGGTTGATACACTTAATTCTTCAAGCCGGGTTCTGTCAGGAGGCTTTAGAAGTTTATAGAAGAGCGGTTTCAGATGGCATTAAGCTGAGCCTTAAGACTTACTCCGCATTAATGGTTGCTTGTGGTAAAAGAAGGGATACCGCCACGGTCCTGAGTTTGTTAAAAGAGATGGATAGTTTGGGGTTGAAGCCTAATATTTACACCTTTACCATCTGCATTAGAGCCCTCGGGAGAGCTGGAAAAGTTGATGATGCTTATGCTATATTGAAGCGAATGGATAATGAGGGTTGCACACCTGATGTTGTTACTTATACAGTTCTAATTGATGCTCTTTGTATTGCTGGAAAACTTGATACTGCTAAAGAAGTTTTCATTAAGATGAAATCTAATGGTCAGAAACCTGATCGAGTCACATATATCACCTTATTAGACAGGTTTAGTGACTCTGGGGACTTGGATTCTGTGAGGGAATTTTTGGACAGGATGGAAGCTGATGGTTATGAAGCAGATGTTGTTAGCTTTACGATACTCATTGATGCTTTGTGTAAGGTTGGGCGGATCGATGAAGCTTTATCAACTTTAGATGCTATGAAAGAGAAGGGGGTATCACCTAATATTTATACTTACAATTCTCTAATTAGTGGCCTTCTGAGAATGAATAAGGTGGATGATGCATTATTACTGTTTGATAACATGGAGTCTTTTGGAGTTCGACGTACTGCTTTCACGTATGTCCCCTTTATTGACTACTATGGGAAGCTGGGAGAGCCTGATAAAGCACTTCAAACTTTTGAAAAGATGAAAGCTCATGGAATCACACCAAATCTCGTTGCTTGCAATGCTTCTATGTATAGTTTGGTAGAGTCGGGCAGATTGAGAGAGGCTAAAAGTATTTTTGATGGAATTAAAAAGAGTGGACATGTTCCGGATTCCATAACCTATAACATCATGATGAAGTGCTACAGCAATGCTGGGAAAATTGATGAAGCCATTCACTTGCTGTCTGAGATGAAGGAAAATGGATGTGAGCCTGATGTGATTGTAGTCAATTCATTGATTGACATACTTTACAAGGATGATCGAGCTGATGAGGCATGGGAAATGTTTCATGGAATGAAGGATATGAAACTTGCTCCTACTGTTGTGACTTATAACACACTATTGGCTGGACTTAGAAAGGAGGGTAAAGTTCAAGAGGCGTTTAAGTTATTTGAGAGTATGGGTGCACAGGGATGCTCTCCAAACACAATAACCTATAATACTCTTCTGGATTGTCTTTGCAAGAACGGTGAGGTTGGTACGGCCTTGAAGATGCTTTATGAAATGACAGAAAGAAATTGCGTTCCTGATGTTTTCACTTATAACACTGTCATTCATGGATTGGCTAAAGAAAAAAGGGTTTATGAAGCATTTTGGTTCTTCAATCAGATGAAGAAAATTGTCCCGCCTGACTGTGTGACTATTTACACACTTGTTCCTAGTCTTGTGAAAGATGGTTCTGTTAAGTATGCTGTTAAAATTGTTGAGAATTTTGTTTGGCAAATGGAAAATTGGTCAGATGATTCTTTTTGGAGAAGTATTTGTGATGGATTTTTTAATGAAGCAAAATTAGAAGATTCCATGTTGTTTATTGAAATGCTGATGTATAATGGTATATGCAAAAATGACTCAGTTATGGCACCTTTGATAAGGTTCCTGTGTAAGCAAAAGAAAGCTCTTGTTGCTCATGATGTCTTTGTAAAATTTACGAAATCTTTTGGAATTCATGCAACACTAAAGTCATATTATCCTTTGATTGAGGGCCTTCTTGATATTCATCTTTCAGAATTGGCATGGAGTGTTTTCAAGGAGATGAAAAACGCTGGCTGTGCCCCTGATGTTTTCACGTATAATGTGTTGCTCAATCATCTTGGAAAATCTGGGAAGGTTGATGAACTTTCTGAACTGTACGAAGAGATGCTTCACAGAGGGTGTAAACCGATAGCTATAACTTACAACATACTTATCTCTGGTCTGGTGAAGTCAGATAAGTTGGAGAAAGCAGTAGAGTTATATTATGATCTTATGAGTGATGGTTTTTCTCCCACTCCTTGTACATATGGTCCGCTAATTGGTGGCCTTTTGAAGGCTGGAAAATTAGATGATGCAAAGACTTTCTTTGAGGAAATGACAAGTTATGGTTGCAAACCTAACTCTGCTATCTACAATATCCTCATAAATGGGTTTGGAAAGGCAGGTGACATAGAAACTGCCTGTCATTTGTTTGAGAAAATGATCAGAGAAGGCATTAGACCAGATTTAAAATCCTATACCATTCTTGTGGATTGCCTTTGCTTGGCAGGAAAGGTAGAGGATGCTGTGCGCTACTTTGAGGAATTGAAATCATCTGGCATTGATCCCGATTTAGTTTCATACAATCTTATGATCAACGGCCTTGGGAGGTCAGGAAAATTCGAGGAAGCCTTATGTCTTCTCGATGAGATGCGAAGCAAAGGAGTTACTCCTAACCTTTATACATATAATTCTTTGATTTTCAACTTTGGAATAATTGGAAGGATGAAGGAGGCAGACAAAATGTATGAAGAGCTTCAGAATCTGGGTCTTGAACCTAATGTTTTTACATATAACGCTCTAATTAGAGGGTATAGCAGGTCGGGTGATCCTGATCGAGCATATGCAGTCTATGAAAAAATGATGGTTGGTGGCTGTAGTCCTAACAGTGGGACTTTCGCTCAACTACCAAATTAATGAGGGAATTCCATATTCTTTTTATGCAACTCATGAGAGTGAACTTGTGAAGTCGGAATGCAACGAGTAAGGTACTTTCTGTCTTTACTCACTGTTCTTTCCCCCAATTCTCTTATTGTTGGGCGGAGGTCGGTAAGGGCCAAGTCCAACACCATGTGGCTAGGGGGATTGTTGGGTGGAGACCGGTAAAGGGGTCAAGTCCAGCACCCTGGCTCTCGAAAATGTAAGGCGGTTTATAAGGAAATAAAGTTGCGCCTTCGCTACTAGCTATAGCTTTTGGCATAGTGGTAAGCGCTTGATCCTAACACTTATTTTCCTCAGTGGTTGCTATTTCTTCTAAAGGTAATATTACCTCGTCTTCAACTTCAAACTTTTGTTCTTATATTCATCTGGTTCTCTTCTGCAGAGTCAGCTTGTGTAACTACATTGACTACATCCGATTATAGGTGGCTTATTCAATGCGGAGTCTTCCTATAGGTGTTTAACTATTGTTCATAACAGTGATGCCAGCCTCCATTCTGGCACTGCTTCATAATGTTAAGGTGCAATGTGGCTCTTTCAACATTGTTGTCTATACAGATTGTGAATATTTGGTTTCTGTACATATCCTTGAGCTTATGCAAATATACATTAACAATGTATTGCCTGTCTTATTCCTGGTCAAAATGTTAACTTTTTGCATTTTCAGAGCGGCTATTATAGATTATCAGCTTATAGAGCAAATTTCTTGTATACTTTCAATCTTGACATGTACTTCTGAGGGAACTCTTGACCAAGAGTATTGTCAATAACAACTTCCCTTAATTACCTCCTTATCTATGGTATTTATAGTATTAACCTAATCTTAGACATCTATTTTTTAAACACCTGAAAATATATAAAATTTGAAGAAAGCTACCAATCAATCCAAGTATGTCCTAAGTTTCCAAATTATTGTAACTTTCATGTGACTTCAATCCAACTTTATTTTAAAGCAAACCATTGATGCGTGGTTGGTATTTTAGAGGAGCCTAATTAACTGAGTCAACTTGGAAAAACCTCAGTAAATCCACCACATGTAGATCCTCTGCAGCTTATGCAATTTAGTATTGCTCTCTGTATGCAAAGTGTCGGGAGTAAGGGTGTAGCATAGTGGTAAGCTAGCTATGCCATTTCCAAGTAGCAGACTTGCGGGATTCAAATCCTATAGCCCCCATCCCCCATAAGATGTACCAAAATATAGTTAGGTGGATTGGATTTTGGGGAAGATGTGAAGTTTGAGCCTTCCAAGCTTTTATGAACATAAGTTCAAGCAGGATTGGAGAATGGGGCTGACATTGGATGGCAATGCTGGGTCTAACTTGGATTGGTGAGTTTTTTTTTTGGTCAATTATATTGTTGTTGTTGCTGGTTGTTTGGTAGTGCGGTTAGTTGTAACTTGACTCGTTTTTATGCATTTGGTTCTGCTGGTAGGTTTTTGCTAATATGTTGGGTGAAGTTATGATGCTTAACATTGCATTAGTAACGGCCTTGAAGGAAGGAGGAAGGAAGGAGGAAGGAAGGAGATTGCCTGCCTATATATGCAATTGAGGTAATATGTTTTTGTGGCATTACTAATTTTTCACTTCACATCAGAGTATCTATATATGCTGCAATTTCTTCATTGGAATTGGATGGAGAAGTATGGTGAGCTGTCATTACAAGAAGTGCATTGCATGCTCCAATCCCCTGAGATTTATCTGGCCTTAAAACCTTTTTATGTACTTACAATTTATTGCTTGGCCCAGCTTCTAAACTTCAGAAGTATTAAGCTTCAAAATAAGTGGGCTAAACAAGTATAAGTGGCCATGTAATTATTACACATTTTACCTTTGCAGCCTTTGTTTGTCGTTGATGATGTTTTATTCCATGCTATATGAAGCTTATCCTAGTTCTAAGTGGAAATGCTGCTCAGCTGCTTAGAAGTAGTGCATGACTGATTAATAACTGTTGTGCAATGAAGGTCTATACATGTGCTAGTGAATCTGTTTTAGCTGAGTATGTTGCATTCCCTACTGCAAAGGTGAAGAATTGCTCGGGTTTTGATGTTACTTATTCAATGTTTGGAAGCATATCATGTGACATGCATAGTTTGAGAGCTAAGGTATGTATCTAAGGTTAAGCTGCACAGAGACGGTTCTTTCATATCATATTAGCATTCCTTGAAGTGTTTTTCTATTCCAAAGTTCTGGTTTCTGTTGACTTTCTCAGTGAGGTATATGATAAAGATACTTGGTTTGTGCTGTCCACATATTGCCTGTTCCAATTCTTTTTCATTGTGTAACACCAAGTCAAATCTGTCAGAGTCTACTGCTGAATCTGCACGTAAAAGATTGGCAAAACTTGAGTCAACCTTCGTGTTTTGTTTGGTTGAACTGGGTATTTTCTTGGCATTGAAGGTAAAATGTTCAATCGCTGTCACTTACAATTTGCATTACTGTTTCTAACCTTGACACATTGTTCAATGAAATGTGTCTTGACTTAGGCTGCTGAATCCTTATCTTGTGATGATAAAGACTCCTTTTTGTGGGGCAAATTGGATTTGCGTGCTGAAACCATTTCCAGAGGCTTTAGTTTGGATGCAGCTAAGATCTTCTCAGCCCACACGCCTTCTGGTCTGATGCTTTGGTGTTAAATATCATATCTAAAAAAATTTGACTAGTTTTTTCTGATTTATGATTGATGCAAAAATTAATTTTATAATAGCTGAATCATTTGCATTTGACTGAATCTATTCAAATTTCATTGTCTTCTGAAGCATATGTTAACTGTTGCACCATTCTTTTTGTTTTTTTTTTTTTTTTCCATTTTGTATGCTCCTTTTTTCTAAAAATTCTATTCAAGTATCGCATTTGTGCGGTTGTGCCACACAAATATATTTGGTAAGAGATCTTTCTATTCTAAAGTTGACATATTGTCCTATAGTTTTCAATGCTTCCTCTGTTAAAATTTGAACCATAGCCTGTCACTATGGTTCATAAAATACATTTTCGGTAATTTCACTCTTCACTCTTAATAACAACTAATTTGTTAAGAAGATGGGTGTAGTAGCATTGAATAAATTCAAATTGATGCCATTTGTGATGTTAAATCTGCGATTATTTGCTGCATTATTCTAACAGTTTGGATGTGGATTTTATCTTCACTGGATATCTCTTGTAATGACTTGCGCTTTTGTTTATACTATACTATACATTTGTAATTTTTAGATTTTGGAAGCAATCACCACAAAAAAATGGCAAGAAAGTTTTCATTTGGAGTCTTTGGAGACTTTGGGAGACTCCTTTCTAAAATATGTTGCCAGTCAGCAGCTATTCACATCTTTTGAAAATAATCACGAGGGGCTCCTTAGTGTTAAAAAGGGACAAAATGGTCTCAAATTCAGCATTGTGCAGGCTGCATGCAACCAAAAGATTCTGGTAAGAAACTTGATGAGCGTAATTTCATCTCAGTATTCTAAGGAAGCTGAGCTGAATATTGAATTGGACCAATATTTTCCTTCAGTTATTACTGCACACAAAAGATTTGCATTAACTGTTTTTGGTTGTGTCGTTCCCATCGAATTGCAGGGATTTATTCGCACAGAACCATCTACTAGCGTGCGCATAATGTGCTAAATACGTGATATAAATATGTGTGTGTGTGTATGTGTGTGTGTGTGTGTGCGCGCTTTTAAGTCCTCGTTTCGGCATCACAGTTGCTAGGAGATGTTATTGAGTCACTTGCAAGAGCAATCTTCATCGATTCTGGTTTCAACAAGGACAAAGTTGGTGAATGCATTCTCCCGCTTCTGGAGCCAATGGTTACTCCAGAAACCATAAGGCTTCATCCAGCGAGAGGGCTGAACGAGTTATGCCAACGAAAAAATTATGTGAAGAAGAAGTCTGTCACTAGGAAAGATGGAGTTGCATGCATCCGAATAGAGGTCGATGCAAATGGCTTTATTTATAGCGACACTTGCTTTGCTCGTGACAAACGCACAGCCGAGAAATTGGCTTGCATGCATATTTTGAAGAAGCTAAATATGGAAAGAGGAAGGGGGCATTAAGTTGTCTGTACTAAAATTACTCCAAAATTTTTGGTGAAATATATGTGGTCATTGTTCCCAAACTACTTGTGGAGAAGTGTGATGGTTTGCTGTTACTATCTGGGGCCATTGCTATTTTGGCTGGCAGCTGGCTGGTAGCTTTTCCAGCAACTGTGAAATGTGAATGATATAACAAAATACATTTATGATATATTCCTTTTATCTTCTTTGTTCCACTGTCTCAAAAATCTTTTTGTTTTGTTTTTTGTTTTTAGTTCTGCTGTTAGTTTATGTTTGTGTTTGTCATTAAAACATGAAAGAGGTAGATATAAGTAGGACTACTTGCTTAGAGCATCCGAATGTATATATATATATATATATTTTTTTTTGAAGTTAGAAAGTTGTTTGAGCAGCACGCGTGCACCTAGCGGGCATCATATGTGGAGTGGTGTACTTTTTTTTTTTCACCTCATCTCTTTCTCTTACTTGACAATAAAGTTGTCAATATATGATTTTGTAGTTGGCCACCTATCGACTGGCTTTAAAAAAGAAAAAAGAAAAAAAAAAAAAACCTAGAAAGTCGTTTGAGCAATATGCGTGCACCTAGCGGGCGTCATGTGTGGAGTGGTGAACAAATTCTCAATTGTTTATTTTATTTTTTGACACAGGCACACGCGCGCGCACACACACACACACACACATTGGCCGAGCATGGGCTAGATAAACCGACCAGAGTCGACCGAGACCGATCGATGTCGAACACCATTGAGTCCCTTTAGGACATTTCTTGATCACCTAGTCACATATAATTAGGAAGTCAACTCTATGGATCGAATATTTGCCCTATTGGTCTACTATGCATAATTACCAGAGAATGGTCAAATCACATTGCATCCACCTTTTCCCCCTCTAACTAATAAACCCGCATCCACCATGTGTAGAACATGTAGGAGCCCTAACATGTGTCCCAAAGTCGGCCTATATAAGGCACATTTATTGCTTGGGAGGGGGGGGGGGGGTGGAGTTTTACTTCCTAAACTACCAGAGACCTATTCGAGGAGAATAACTCATTCCCGGGTAGCGTTGCGTGCAAGGCGTGTGCAGTGGGGGTTGACCTGAGTTACCCATTCTGTAGCAGGGAGGATGAAACATTGGAACACCTTTTCTTTTCTTGTGAGGTAGATCTGGGTGTTGGGTGGAGTGGAGTTTGGTTTGATGGGGGAGGGGGGTATGGAGGAGTTGGGGAGGATATCAGTGTTGTTTTGGGCCCTATGGGCGGCTAGGAATGCAACGGTGTAGAAAAATGAGAGTCAGACACCGGCAAACATTGTAAACACAGCAGTGAGGGTGTTGAGCTAGTGGTTGAATGGTTTGGCAGTCTTTGGGGCTCAACGCCAACAGTAGCAGGGCATAGGGCAGTCGGCCAAGGGCGGGCTGCGTTGCTTTGTGGATGCAGTAGTATGGCAGATGTCGGGGAGGGCGGGTTTGTGGCAGCAACATGCGGTCCGGTCTGGTGTGGTGGTGATCCATTTGCAGGAGAGGTGTGAACTTGTAAGGAGGCGCTCTCGTGGCTCAAGGATAAAGATATTGGAGATGTTACTATTCTTTTTAATATGTCAATTTGTGTAATGCCTTGCGTGAGAGGCGTGTTGCTCGGTCTTATGTTGGAGTCTTGGTTCATCAAAGTTTTCATTTGGAGTCTTTGGAGACTTTGGGAGACTCGTTTATGAAATATGCTGCCAGTCAGCAGCTATTCACATCTTTTGAAAATGATCATGAGGGGTTCCTTAGTGTCAAAAAGGACAAAATGGTCTCAAATTCAGCATTGTGCAGGCTGGCGTGCAACCAAAAGATTCCGGTAAGAAACTTGAAGAGCGTAATTTCATCTTAGTATTCTAAAGAAGTTGAGCTGAATATTGAATTGGACCAATATTTTCCTTCAGTTATTACTGTGCACAAAAGATTTGCATTAACTGTTTTTGGTTGTGTCGTTCCCATCGAATTGCAGGGATTTATTCGCACAGAACCATCTACTAGCGTGCGCATAATGTGCTAAATACGTGATATAAATATGTGTGTGTGTGTATGTGTGTGTGTGTGTGTGCGCGCTTTTAAGTCCTCGTTTCGGCATCACAGTTGCTAGGAGATGTTATTGAGTCACTTGCAAGAGCAATCTTCATCGATTCTGGTTTCAACAAGGACAAAGTTGGTGAATGCATTCTCCCGCTTCTAGAGCCAATGGTTACTCCAGAAACCATAAGGCTTCATCCAGCGAGAGGGCTGAACGAGTTATGCCAACGAAAAAATTATGTGAAGAAGAAGTCTGTCACTAGGAAAGATGGAGTTGCATGCATCCGAATAGAGGTCGATGCAAATGGCTTTATTTATAGCGACACTTGCTTTGCTCGTGACAAACGCACAGCCGAGAAATTGGCTTGCATGCATATTTTGAAGAAGCTAAATATGGAAAGAGGAAGGGGGCATTAAATTGTCTGCACTAAAATTACTCCGAAATTTTTGGTGAAATATATATGTTCATTGTTCCCAAACTACTTGTGGAGAAGTGTGATGGTTTGCTATTACTATCTGGGGCCATTGCTATTTTGGCGGGTAGCTTTTCCAGCAATTGTGAAATGTGAATGATATAATAAAATACATTTCTGATATTCCTTTTATCCTCTTTGTTCCACTGTCCCAAAACTCATTTTGTTTTGTTTTTTGTTTTTAGTTCTGCTGTTACTAATCCAGAGAATGGTCAAATCACATTCCATCCACCTTTTCCTTTATATTCAAGCACTTGACATTACCCCTCTAATTGGTGAACTCGCATCCACCATGTGTAGAACATGTAGGAGCCCTGACATGTGTTCCAAAGTCCGCATATATAAGGCACATTTATTACTTAGGGGGTGGGGGGGGGGGGGGGGTGGTTGACTTCTTTAACTACCAGACCTATCCGAGGAGAATAACTCATCTCCCGGACTCGACCAACCAAACTCAAACCCGGGTAGCGTTGCGTGCAAGATGTGTGCAGTGGGGGTTGACATGAGTTACCCATTCTGTAGCAGGGAGGATGAAACATTGGAACACTTTTTTCTTTTCTTGTGAGGTGGTGAGGTAGGTCTGGGTGTTGGGTGGAGTGGGTTTGGTTTGATTTGGGTGGGGGGTGGGGGGGGGGGGTTTCTACAGGGTATGTAGGAGTGGTTCGAGTATCGAGGAGTTGGGGAGGATATTGGTGTTGCTTTGGGCCCTATGGGCGTCTAGGAATGCAATGGTGTAGAAGAATGAGAATCACACCCCGGCAAGCATTGTAAACATAGCGGTGGGGGTGTTGAGTCGGTGGTTGACGAGGAGTGGGGTGGTAGGCGGGGGGATGGTTTGAGAATTTAATTTCTTATTCATTTATTATTCATTTTGAGCATAAAATAAATTGAAATACTTATTGTAAAAAATTTAATAATAACTTAAAATAAAAATAAATCGTTACTCATAATAGATATCGTAATATTTATATGTGAAATGTTATACAACACTTACTATTTACGATAAAATTGATTGTTAGTAATGATAAATATTGTAATACTTATTTATAAACTTATATATCTTACATAAAAGATTTTTTAGTGTTGTGAGTTCGACAATAATATTTTTTCGAGTAATTTTCCAATATAATTTGATATATGATTCTATACGTCTCGGTACACTGTACTCCCTGTATCGCTAGCGATTGACGAATCGCACAGTTTTGCGCCATTCTACGTTACCTCCAATTCAAATCTCAATCTCTCCCTCTCGTCTTTTGTAGTTTTGTCCCCATTTCTCTCGGATCCACTCGCCTCCCTCCTTTTAGTCCTTTTCGGGCACTTTCTCCATTGTATCTCTTTCCGAATCAAACTTCTAGGGTTTTCCTTTGATCGGAGAGAGGTTCAGAAAAAGGTGGGATAATAATATGGGGCAACAGACGCTGATCTACAGCTTTGTGGCCCGGGGAACGGTGATCCTCGCGGAGTACACGGAGTTCACCGGCAATTTCACCAGCGTTGCCGCCCAATGCCTCCAAAAACTACCCGCTTCCAACAATAGGTTCACCTACAATTGCGATGGTCACACCTTCAATTACCTCGCCGATAACGGTTTCAGTCAGTTTCTGCTTCCATTTATTTTTCGATTTGGATTTTGCGTATCTGTTATCTGATTGTGTATCTCAGTTTCTGATTGACTTATTGATCCAAGGGGGAATTGATTTTGTTTTTCAACTGCATTTTTGTATATGATCAATGTTTTGGACATGGTCTTGTTATTTATGATGCTTTTAAATTTGATCTGTTTTGCTTTTCCGTGATTTTATTTTATATATAAAAATTCCATTTACATTTGGATCGACGTTATGTGGAATAAATATAACTGAAATGAATTGCAATAATTATGCTTGTAGAATAAATTTAAAGAGCTAAGATATAATTATCAATTTAATCCGATCTCTTTGCTCTTTCTTTTTATATTGATATGTCTGTAGGTTCCATTTACTTGAGTACTTTATAGATCCTTGTTGATTTATGTTTGACTGGGCTCATTTCTTCAGTTTCCAATCCATTGCATGCATTGTTTGAAACTTGTGTTCAGATTGAAAATGAGGGATTAACAGATGATTTTTCTTGTTTTTTTCTGAAAAAATGTTTTGAGTTAAAAAATTTACAGATCCGACTTTAAACTTGATGTTTCCCTAATCTTGTAATTGCCAGCCCTTCACTACATATATGGTAAAGTTCTATTTTATATTGCACACTGCAGCCTACTGTGTTGTTGCAACCGAGGCTGCTGGAAGGCAACTTCCCATTGGCTTCTTAGATCGAATAAAAGATGATTTTAGCAAGAAATATGCTGGTGGAAAAGCAAAAACAGCAAAAGCCAATGGTCTTAATAAAGAATATGGGTATCTTCCTTTCTCCAACAGTCCAGCTTTTGTGATGTAGACTGAATTTTCAGAGTCACCGTCATATCTTTCCTCTCGGCTTTTCTCTGTAGATCAAAATTAAAAGAGCACATGAGGTACTGTGTTGCGCATCCAGAAGAAATAAACAAGCTTGCTAAGGTGAAGGCTCAGGTTAATGAAGTAAAGGGAGTCATGATGGAAAACATTGAGAAGGTGAGGAGGTTTTACTAAGCCTTTGTTCTGAGCTAATGGAAGATGAGATTTGGAGGAATGTACTGCTTTTTACATTCCTGTCTCCAAACATGCACTCAGCCTGACTTTGCTTATACATTGATCTGGTGTTTAGGTTCTTGACCGTGGTGATAAGATTGAGCTTCTGGTTGATAAAACAGAGAATCTTCGTTCCCAGGTTAGTTTTATGCAGCTTATGAGTCTTGTGCCAATTCATATTGCATAACGTCTTTTCAGTATTTAACTGCAAGTGCAGATGTTCAAACCCCCAAGAAACACCGAATGCTGGAAGTCCAGTAATTTTAATCTTGTGGGATTCTCCGTCTACCAAGAAATTCAAAAAGAAAAAGAAAACTAAAGATAATAACAGGATTAAAGAGATGGAGAGCAGTAACAGAGATTTTCCCACGACTAATATCCTCTTTCAGTAAAACTGTAGTTCTTTCCAGGGGGCTATTTTGTTGATGCTGTTTCGGGTTGTCTGTTTTTTCATGTTTCAGGCTCAGGATTTCAAGAAACAGGGAACCAAGATAAAGCAGAAGATGTGGTATGAAAACGCAAAGATAAAACTGGTTGTAGCCGGTATCATTGCACTTCTGATTCTTATCATCTTCTTGGCAATCTGCCCTCATTTCGAATGTTGATTGCTATGGATGCCGGTTGCCTCGTGCTGTCGTGGTTGATATGTGACCATATCGATACATGATCGACGCCTTTTCATCCTGACATTCCAATTGACAATATGAACACGGAGCCTTCTTCAGCGAAATTTTCACATAGGTGGACGGGATGTACTTGTATTTTGGAGTTGAATTGGTGTATAGTTGTATAGCTTTCAGCTTTCTGCTTTACTAGGCATTATTCACAGTAAGTATTTGTCTCTGTACATGGCGCTTTACTGTCTTTGTACTGTAAAATAAGTTTTGTAGCATATAATGCCAACCCAGTTATGGTCTTATACTCTATATTCTTATGGAGTTCTCTGAGGACATTATAGATACATGAATGATGATAATACAACTGTCAACTGTCAATTAATAATAATTTATGAAATTCAACTTATATCAACTAAACTTCAATTTTAATATACTTATAATTCGGAGTTTTATTTCCCTTGAAAAACTCCTATGCTATAATCAATATAGCTTTTAGCTACGGAAACTTTCAACTAGAATATTAAAAAATGAAATCACTTTTAATACCTTGTACAAAAACACACCATAAGGTCATAAAGTAACAAATAGCTAATTAATTTTCAAAAAAAAAAAAAAAAACTAATGTGTAATTCAATGGAAAGTGCAAAGTTGGAATTTCACAAGGACTTCGTTGCGCGCGCGATTTGCTGCTCTCTTTCCCGCCAAAAACACAATCTCCCCTTCTCCAATCTCCACACTAGCACAGCATAGCACAACACCACTTCCATCGAGAATTGCTGAGACGATGGAAATGGATATGGATACGGACATTCCCGATCCCTCCGAGCTCGAATGGCTCGAATCGAACTCGTACCACCTCCACGACGACCTCGAGTTCGACGACGATTTCCAGCAACCCCCATCCCCGCCATCGGAGCCTGAAGAAGAAGAAATCCCGAACCCAGAAACCGCAAAAGGCGTTGACCCTCCCGTACCCAGAAACCCCTCACTTCAATTACCCCCAAAACCCGCTCTCTTAATCCCGCCTAAGCCATCATCATCCCTCCCCAACCAGACAAAGAAACGATTCCGGCCCGACCCGGTCCCGGCGGGTGCCGGAGATGCGGCATCCGTTGAGGAGAAACGAAGCAGAGTGGAAAGTGGAGAGGATGAGGACTGGCTCCGGTACTCGCCGCCGCCTGCTCCGGCGGTCGAGGTGGTGGAGAGAGAGGAGGAGGAGGAGAAGGAAAAGATTTTGTCGAGGTACGCTATGGAGATTGACGGGGATTGCGTACCGGTCACGGGGTTGGATGGGGAGAGGGTTTATGCAAAGATTTGCAGAGCTCATATGAGAGAGAGGATCACGAAGCTGAGCACAAAGGGTGAATCTAATGGTGAGTGCAGTAGTACACTGTGTGTGTGTGTGTGTTTTTTTTTTTTTTTTTTTTTTTTTTTTTTTTTTTTTTTTTTTGTGACTAGGGAAATCCCTCAATGTGTGTACTGGTAAATAGTTTATATGAATTTTTCTAATTTATGATTGATTTTGCAATTTATGTAATTGAAAACTTTGATATCTATGTGAGATTGATCTTGTACATTTGCTGGTTTGCATTTTCTTTTTGGATCTCAAATGCAACAGAGGCTGCTTATGATATCACCCTAAGTTTAATTAAGTGTATAATTTTGCAGGTCTTATTTTGGAACCTGTCAGGGTTCTTATGGAAAGAGTGGAACAGGATGAATTTACAAAGGTGTGTAAGTTAAGACATTATCCATACTCTGCGAAATGAGAATAGAACATGATGAATTTATAAAGCTTAGCTGAGCAAATTAAGACATTACCCATACTCTTAGAATAGTGATCTAGTGAATTACAGTAGTTTAATTTGATAAATACTTGTTCTCTTTACTTCTCTAATGAATGTAAGGTAGTTAAGTTTACTCGTATACATTTCTAAAAGATCCTTGCTTTTTCTTCCCTAATAGAATATGTTATTGATTATTGATAGAAGTCTCTTGTATATTACAATGACTACCCTTTTATAGGATTAAATGACATTGAATTGTATCCAATTTAAAATTATAACACGATATAACAAACGGTCATGTTCTAGTAATTCATAGGCTATCAATAGGATCATAGATGCATTTCTTTGCTGTTAGGATGCTTACCTAGAGCTGTATTTCCTGCATCAAGCAAAATAATTTTGAATATGCTATCCAGTAGAATGCCTTTAACCAAAGTAACTGAAACTGTCCAATCTTAAATTGAGTAAGCTCATCAAATGGCTTAAAGATGGTAAATTAAGATTTTTACAAACGATTCTTCAAACTCTTAAATGCTAGTTGCTTGGATATAATATGCTTTAACATCACAATCTGAAATGTTTGAGCTTGTACAAACTTAGTTTAACATTCAACTGAGGATCTAACAATGGTTTGGTATTAGCACAGAGTTCTGAATAATTCAGTTTATTGTACTTCTTATCTACAATTTTTGTCTGCTATCTGTTCTACCTTTTTGGTGAAGGCATTGGAAGCTAGTTCTGAAGATCAAATTGAGACAACTCCTCCAAAAGCAACGTTAACAACTGAGCAACTTTGGGTGGAAAAATATGCTCCAAGTTCATTTACAGAACTTCTTAGTAATGAGCACACAAATCGAGAGGTAATGCAACATTTGTCTATGCCCAGTTAAAACTTTGATGTATTTCACTGTTGGAAATGCTATTTAAGGGTGCCCAATGAATCATTAAACTGTACACTGGAATCAAACCACACCAAACTGTAACCAGTGGTTTCAAGAGATGGTAACTTGGTAATCCATTGGTTGAAACTGCTGCAACCAGTCATTTATAGGTATATATTATTATATGCTTGATATAATTCATTGCATCTTTAAATAGTTGAAGCAGAAAATTCTTCACTATGAAGCATAAAACTAAAGGCATTTTGGGACAAATGGGTTGCCCGGAATACTTACATATGACCTTTTCTCCATTAGACCATAGTTCTGTTGCAATTTATTGATTCTTGGAGTTTTGAATAAGAGCTTTATGACATTATTTGTTAAATCAAGCTCCTTGTTCACTCTTAACTGTATTTGCTTTGTAAATTAAATGATTCATGCTTGGCTGTTTTCATTTTAAAGTAAATTGTACTTTTCTATTTTTCTAGTGAAGATTCTAAAACTGCAATGCATTAGAGTTGTTTTAAAACTGCCACCAATGGTTTGAGTGGAAAATTAAGTGTGAAACTGTCAAACCCCTTGGATATCCCTTTGCTATTTACATACTCTAATGCCTTCTTGTTGTTGTAACTTTATCGTAGGTTCTTATGTGGTTGAAACAGTGGGATTCAAGTGTTTATGGATCTGAAATTAAGAGTACAGAGGATCATGTCTTGTCTGCTTTGAGACGCCATTCATTAGTTAAACGCCCAAAATATTCCGCTAGTAAGACTTTTGGAACTAATAGAGAATCTGTGTTCAGCAAAGATGGATCTCATAATTATCCATTTGAAGAGAATGGTAACTCAAAAGATATTAAGGACCTGGGGGAGAAGAAAGGTAGACAATCTGGCCCACCTGAACAGAAGGTCAGTTATCTGATTTGTCTGGAGAAGCACCTTTATCCTGCATTCATCTGTGTCCAATCCAAATTTTGATAATGCATTACTTTCCTTTCAATCTTTTCACTCATATAAGAATGTGTTTTATACTTTTATAATGATGGAGTCTCCTTGCAGGCACTTGAAAAAATATTATCTTAATATGGATCTTTTGCATTTCTTGAAGTTCCCATGTGTCTATTAGTAGCTCAACTACTACTAAGAACTTGTATACATGGTCAAGTAATTAAAAGACTTACTGGTGAAAATATCCAAACCTTTGCACCTTGTGGCAATTCTAATTAAACTTTTTAAAGTTGGTACTTGGTAATTGAGTACCAAAATTTGAAACATTTATGCAATTCTCTAAAAAAAAACTTGATCCCCAAAGAAATCGGAGTTCAAATGCATACAATTTCATGACAAAATTGATTACATTCTTAAAAAGCTTCATTTATTTCCCCACTAAATACTATGTTTTTTTTTTTTTTTTTTTTTTTTTTTTTTTTTGGCAAAAGTTGTGTTGTAATAACTTTATGTAATTTACATTCAATATTTTAGTGGTATTTTCAACTCAAGAAAGAATATCAATAATTTATTATTACATATGAAGAACATATAACTTGATTCAAGTTGAATAAATTTTTATTTTTTTTTCTTTTTGGATCAAGTTAAAATATTGTCTAGATTGTTCCAATGTTTCAAATTATGGTACTAAATTATCAACTTTATAAAGTTTGGCTAGAATTGTCACAAGGCACAAAGGTTTGGATATTTCTTCTTCCCCTCCCCCCCCCCCCACCCCCCCCCCCCCCAATAAGCCTATTTAAAAAAGAACTCAACATCTTGCTTGACATTAGATTCTTCAATTTATGGTTTTTAATATTTCTTCATTCTCTGTTTTTATTTTTATTTGTCAATTTAATTTGAGTTTAAATCATATAAGAATGCTGACTTGCAGATTCTTCTACTTTGTGGTCCTCCTGGGCTTGGGAAAACAACACTTGCTCATGTTGCTGCTCGGCATTGTGGATACCGAGTAGTTGAGGTCAAGTAACTTTGCTTATTTTACTGAGTTCCCATGAATCTGGTTCCTTTTAACTTTTTTAGAATGTACTTAAATTTATAGAAGAGATTATAGCCTTTTCTGTAATGGAGAACCAGTGAAGGACTCGGTATCTATGCTCTTTGAAGCTTGATTTCTCCTGCAGAAATGGCTAATATTAAGTCTAGCTTAGTTGAGTTCATCAATATTAAACATTTAAACTGCTTTTGAGCAATTTATGTATAGAGATGATGTGGGAATTGGTTTAGACTTTGAAGTGCTTTTTGTTGCAGATTAATGCCAGTGATGATCGGTCATCATCTACAATAGAATCCAAAATCCTGGATGGGGTCCAGATGAACTCTGTTCTTGCTGATTCAAAGCCCAAATGTTTGGTTTGTTTCACTCGTTCTCTCTCTCTCTCTCTGTTTTTGTTTTGTTTTGTTTTTTTTTTGTTTTGTTTTTTTTTTTTTTGTTTTTTTGTTTTTGTTTTGTTTTTTTGTTTTTTTGTTTTGTTTTTTTTTTTTTTTTTGTTTTGTTTTTTTTTTTTTTCTTTCAAGCCTTCTCCTTTAATCTTGCATGATATCCAAGCCTCTAAAACATAATGTAATTGTCACTTTCAAGGTTATTGATGAAATTGATGGTGCTCTTAATGATGGAAAAGGTGCAGTGGAGGTCATTATGAAGTTGGTAAAGTAATTTCTCTATTTGTTGGTGTTGTTGCATGTTATCTTATGGATTGCTTGTATCTCGGTAATCAAGTTCCCCTATACTTTCCTGCAAAAGAAACTACTGGAACATTGTGTCACAATCATTGTTGGCGACATGGGAATATATGTATACACACACTCACAAATGAAATTGTGTATGTAGTCAATTTTCTAGAATATTGCAAATGTGCAGATCCGTGTTAATGACTCGGTTCTAAACAGATGCACTTTAGAAGTCATCAAATCATTTGCTCCCATTTATAAAAACTGAAAAGGCAACTATAAAAACTCACAGGTTAAATAACTTTAGTTACCTCTGAACCTTGATTGCCTCATCCCAGTTGGAAGGGGGAAGATTAATGTAAGCTGAAAGAGAGAACTGATCGTGGGGATTTGAACTATGTATATTTTCTTACAAAAACTATATCCTTTTATCTACAGTTGTTTATTAAGCATGAAGTAGCTGATGTGTCATGCTGGGATTTTAAGCCACCATAAATATCATGCATATTATGTAAATAAGTGACAGTTGAGGAACTTAAATAGGACTTGGAACTAGTACTGCAATTGGTGGCACCATTTGTATTTTTCCAACCTGACTTATAAAATTTTGAAACTATCTCTCTGCCTCCTAGTTAAATACTGTACTAAAGATGCATTGACAAGAAATATGTTTCTGAAAAAACAATAAACCCTGCTGTGCTGATTAAGGTGTCTGCGGAGAGGAAATCCAATGCCGGAAAAGAAAATGATCCTCAAGGGGCACAGCCTGTACGGAAGTCCTCAAAAAAGAAGGAAAAGACTGCATCTTTGTTAAGGCCTGTAAGTTTAAATATCTTTTAATGTATTTATTAATTTGATAAGTTAAAAGTTTTCTTGATCCAGAAGTTGTCTATGGCATCTAGGTGATATGCATCTGTAATGATCTTTATGCTCCTGCCTTGAGGCCATTGCGTCAGGTTGCAAAGTAAGTTTTTGATCAAGAAGTTTCATAAAGTCATTTGAATGTGCATTTCAATTTAGATACTAAAAGTTTTGCACTTTGGAGTGCTCTTATGACAGGTTTGATGTTACTGATTTGATATGCATTAACAATATTAACTGCTTATGTATGCTATTCTTGGTTTCAGTTTTTAAATTCCCATTTCATCTAAAACAATTAGGTGTTCTAAAGATAAAAGTATGTGTTATTTAATGATATTAATCAATGGGATTGTATATTATTTTAGCTGTCTTTATTAGTGACTTAGTATGATACTTGGATTACAAATAGCAAAATACCAAGTTTTCGTTTCATTTCCATATCAATATGGCAACATAATAAAAATGCAATTTTATTTTATCCACATTATCATTACCATGATCTCTGAAATTGTAAATTCAATTTTTAGTTTATTTCATTTCTCTGCAATGCCAGGGTTCATGTATTTGTTCAACCAACTGTGGTTCGTGTGGTAAACAGGTATAACTAACTCTAGCTTATAAAATTCCATACTTGAAAGCTTGTATTGCTCATGGACTCATGGTAATATGTGTTGTCTATGTTGTTTCCTTGATCTACTGACTACTGTGAACCCAAGATAGAGTCTGGTGCATGGATGGCCTCAATTCCCTAGTTTTGTTAATTTTTGGGAGCCATTCTCCTAAAGTAATTTACCGCTAGTCTACTTGTATAAAAATACACAGAATAAAATATTCAATCATGTAATGATGTTGGGTGGAGATAAGTAGATGAAACGACTCTCTTCTTGAGTGAATTTTAGGTTTTGTCATCACTTTACAACTGAAACACAAAATTTTCTTCTTTTCATGTCTATCTTCCATTTGCCTAAAAGAACCCTCCAACCCCTTCAAAAATCTCAAATAGCAGACTAGCAGTCCTCTAAAGTCTCAGCAACTTTGCCCAAAAAGAGGCCTGAAGTCACTATACCAAAGAAAATAAGCACTGGAACTGCTTAGTACAACTTGTTAGCAAATAGTGCTTGATGCAATGTTGAGTCTTATTATTCATTGGCTTGAGCAACTTTCACTGTTCTAACTTTCAGAGCCCTATTTACCAGTTGCTTGTACCCAGCTTGTGTTCCATTCACACATCTTTCTCTGGCTGACGCTTGCAAGTGTACTAACATTTTGTGCTTTGTAAATCCTACCATGAAATTCTAATTTTGCTAAAGAACTTTAGGCTCAAGTATATATGCAATAAGGAAGGAGTGAAGACTAACTCCACTGCTCTGACTGCTCTAGTGGAGTATACAGGTGAGTGTTGTTAGCTGTACTAGCAAAATTGCCTCAAAATATCAATTTTATTTTACGAATTCAGGATTGCTTCAATGTGGTAAGCATATTCATACGAGAATGTTGAGCATCGCACACGAATTTTAACTTTAACAATACACTGTTTTTTTTAATCTTTTTTATTTTCCCAAAGTCTGACAGTGGAAAAATCTAAAGCCATTTTTTGGCATAATTTCTAGAAGTGGGATACCAACTAAATGTATTAATAGTGCCCAGATCTTCTAAACTCTTTTCAGAGGTTTACTAATGTAGAGGTCAAAGGAACTCTGGCTTCCCCTTGTTGGCTAATGTGAGCACAGAGGTCAATAGACTAAGTTCATTTTCTCTTAAGAACATGTATAAATAGATTAATAGTTCCTCAAAAAGCAAACAGGGTAATGAAGTTTATATGAAGTCTGTTGAGTAATTCTGAAACCATTTAGTATCTGATCTGATAAAAATTTGGGATCTGAAGTACATGATTATAGAATGCTCTAATGTGTTACAAATACATAATTTTTCTTAAAGTCAACTTGAAGTTCAGGAATATGAATACCACATTTATCTATGACTCAACTAATTTATTAACTTGATTTCTGACTTTTTACCAGAATGTGATATACGATCGTGCTTAAACACCTTGCAGTTTCTCAACAAAAAGAAGGAGACCCTCAATGTGGTATGAACTTTATATTATCCTGCTGTATAATCTTGATCAAGTAGTCAGTGGAGAGGTTGATCAGTGGCCTCAACCAAGTATATATTTAATATATGTAATTATGTATCAGCATGCTGGCGAAAAATATTTTACTCTTTTCCAGGACAAAATTTGGGAGTGATAATTTCTATACCTGTGCTCAATTTGTACACTAGTTGTACTGTTATTTTTCTGCCAGTAAAAATTATGTCATTACATCAATAAATGTTTGTCTAACCAGATACTCTGTATCTGTGAATAGAATAGTCTTACTTGCCATATGATTATTCTAAATTTTATGACACATTTTTGGCGTTGTATTGAGTTCTCAAACTATGCATTGCCTTTGATTTCTCCAGAAAATTGAAACTACTTCATAGATGGATTTTCCAACTAGTAGGCAATCAAAATTTTAATGGCTCTAACTTCAAAGTTACTGGAATCTTCTAAATTCAGAAGCGTAATTTATATTTTCCTACGGGATAGAAATGATTTTATGTCAAGTTCTAGTTACTTTTTCCTATAATCTGCCTTTCCTTTTAGATATATTGATCAACATCATATGCCTCCTTGTAGTTGGAGCTAAGGTCTCAAGTAGTTGGCAAGAAAGATGCATCAAAAAGTGCTTTTGACATCTGGAAAGAGGTAAGTCTAGTTCCCTACTCTATCACTTTAGTCAGATACATGCCTTTGGAGGCCTTTCTCTCATTATTTTGGTAATGTGGTAACCCTTCTTCATTTGTTTTTTTGGGATTTCATGTTTTGTTTTTCCTTCTAAAGATTTTCCAGAAGAGGAAAGCAAAACGTGAGAAGAAATACAATAATTCCTTCCAGTGCATGTCTAATGATTTTGAATCTCTGCACTCTCTAATATCTAATAGGTAGGTTACAAACTCCACATGACATTTCTATCTTCTCTTTGAGAGATGCATCATCTATCTTAATGTATAATGACATCCAGGGGTGACTTTGACTTAATTTTGGATGGAATCCATGAGAATATTTTGCAACTCCGATACAATGACCCTGTGATGCAAAAAAGTGTAAGTTGTTTTAAAGAAATTAATGTTTCCCATTTTAGTAGTTTCTCTTATTTTTGGATGATCCAGGCCTATATTATAAGAATATTTATGATCTGTTTATTTACATGAAGGCCAAGTCCTTGGATATTCTTGGTGATTCTGACATAATTCATCAATACATCATGCGCACACAACACATGTCCCTTCTAGGTAGAGGAGAATCTTCCCACCAACATATAATTTATATCATCTGGTTCTATCTTTATTTTTCTATTTTAAATTCTGCAGTTTATCAGCCTTCACTTGCAATTACTATTCACCGTCTCGTAGCTCAGGTTGAAAGGCCAAACATTGAATGGCCCAAGTCATTTCACAGGTACTCATAACTCATTAACTTGGCGCCTGTTCTTAAACATTGTAGTTCTTTAGGGGTGTACCTACTGTTGCAACTTATTGTTGAATTTTGTTTTAAACCTGTAGATATCGCAATATATCAATAGAAAAGATGGAAACATTCCGTTCGTGGCACTACAAGATGGCACCTTGCATATCTAGACATCTGTCAACTAGATCTTTTGTGGAAGACTTGATTTCTCCATTGTTACATATTCTTTCGCCACCAACATTAAAACCGGTAATTACCATAATTTTTCAGTTATCTGAAGATTGATTTAAATGAAAATACCTATAAGAAAGATAGATGGACTCTCTATTATACTTTCTCTATTCAAAGTTGTAATATACTTGTACTACATCTTTAATTCTACTTCTCTTCCAATGGTTTATCCAAGGGCCTCTTCCTTCTGTTTTACCACCTTTATAGGCTGTTTAAGGTTTGGTTGAGCATTAATTTATCAATATGAACTAGGATGGCCTTATTCTAAAGATTAGAGATGGTGGCAGCCTGTAACCACTTGTACTTTTAGGTTGATGTGAACTGGAAATAACATTGTTTCGTTGCAGGTGGCATTGCATTTACTATCAGAGAAAGAGAAGAGATATTTGGCTCAATTGGTGGATACAATGGTGTCATATGTAATAACATATAAGAACGTGAAATCTGATCCTTCATCAGGTTCCATGAAACACGAGGATGCTTTAGATTCTTCAATGCTTTCTTTTGAACCCCCTATTGGTGATTTCATAAATTTCAAGGTTTGTTTTGGATTTTCTAATAAGAAAGGAATGAATTTGGGAAGTGTTTAAATGTTCTATTAAAATGAAAAATAAGAGGAAATTTCAGTTATATTTTTTTTACTATTCTACTGTCTTTATTTGGACAGGGCTACATTTCATGCCATTTTGTTCTTGCTTCCGCAATGAAGGCAGTCTTGGTACATGAGGTAAGTTATAGCTGAGAATTTACAAGTTTGCATCTAATTTGAATAGAAGTATTATTTTTTAAAAGCTTTTCAATGAAGAGTAATTTGGTCTTGTTTTGGCATGCAAGTAAAAACTGAAATGGTTCTTGGCTCAATTAATTTGATCTTCCTGTCTGAACTGAGGGACAGTAATGGGGTCATTTATGTGCAGCTTTTAGGCTAATTCTTGTCATCATTTAAAGGGGGAGTCTGATAAACAAACATGTCAAGAAATGCCAATGGATATTCTTCTTTTGTTAGTATTGGATTCCAATAATTATGCATCTTGAACATAGTTTAGGGGCTTGTAAAGGGAGAGTGGAAGCACATTTGCACGTATTATACTTATCTTATAGATTTATTGCATTCTTGTTTGATTTATATATTTGTGGAAATGATCTTAATATTATTTACAAAATACTTAATATAATTAGGTTGAAAATCAAAGGATTTTGAAAACCAGCAGAAATGAACTGATACAACCAACTGTGAACCAACCGTCAGTCGGGAACAACAAGAACTCTACACTTCATTCTAGATCTTGTTCTACAACTACTTCTGCTGACAAAGATCCAAGTATAAGGAATCCTATCCAAAAGCTATCTACATCTTCTAGTCCTTCAGCCACAGAATCTATTGGAGGTGCTGCAGTTAAAGTGAGTTCTCCAGAAAAAAAGAAGCCTGCCAGAGGATCATTCAACTTTTTTGACAGGTATTTTTGTATTTATATTCTATTCCCAGTTTCATTTTATGTTTAATGCGGAAACGTAATAATTACATTGAATGACCAAATATGTAAAGATTTAATTTTTGAGGAACAGCTAATTGTCATGGATGTTCACTCCAAATCAATGCTTCTTGCTAATTTTTATGTTATTTTTGAAACAATTCTAGATTCAAAAAACTTAGTAAAGGATCTCAGCACAAGGATACTGCTAAACAAGGACCAACAGAGAGGAGGGATTCATGTCCTTTATTGTTTAAGTTTAATGAGGTACGGAATGAATAGCATCTGCCTATGTGCTTGTTCTTGACTGCACCATGCCATGATTGAGAGCATTTTGATTCTGCAAATTTTCTGCAGGGTTACACAAATGCAGTCAAGAGACCTGTCCGAATCCACGAATTTCTTTGATTCCAGGTGTTGTATGCAAGTGATCATTGCGAATCTTAGTTAGAGTCCGACTAGTTTTGTTTACATTAATGCTTTTCTTATTCAATAAAATTGGGAGTTCATTGTCTGCTGCAGCAAACAGTTAAACATGTGGATCAGTAGAGAGAACTGAGATTAACCTTAGAAATGACATCTGCTGCCAGAGGTTGGTTGTCTATAGCAAAGTGAATGAAAGGCCTAGCAAAATTTGGTGCAACCTTTAATTATGTCAATATATATTAATCATGATATGAATGCCAGATCCAGATCCACTCACTTGCATAAATGGAAGAACAAAGCAAAAGAAACTAACAGGGGCTTGGAGATTTTTAGTAACAAGTTTACTATGATTTATTTATGTACAATAACTGATGGCTGTTATAGATACAATTTACACTAGTTTGTTTTCCCATGAATCTGTGCTTCAGTTTCCCATGAAAGTCCAAAAATGTGCAGGGTATGAGGCTGCCCTTGGATCAACAGATTGGGGGTATATTTGTAACACCCCAAATTCTACGATGCAAATTAAGCAATAAAGTTTTTAATATTAAACAGCGGAAGCAAAATCAAACTAAACAGGGGTGTTATACTACATTTAGGTCATACTAAACCTAAATGCTAAGGCAAGTTTACATCATCAAACCATAAGTATAATACTCCAACTAGCCAAGAACCATAGAGCTAAGTCTAAACAAAAGGGAAAAACAACTAGCCAAGAACCATAGAGCTAACATAAAGCTAATGCGCTCTTGAATTTGGGTATTACTCCATACTTGAGAATATATTTTACAAAACTAAGTGAATAATGTTAATTAAACCCACTTTAACACGGAAAATTACGTAAGTATACATTTCATATTCAAATAGGTTTTGTAACGGTATGAATACATACTCTCTCTCTCACACACACACACACACATATATATTATACCTACGAACTCAGCAGAAGGATTTCAAAAGATAGATACTCAATAAACAATACTCAACTTCAAGAATAAGGATTCAATCTATAGGACACTTGCAATTAGACTCATTTCAAGAAAGACAAGGGAGAACATGCTCATATCGACTTAGATTCAATAGGCAACACAAGAGATACAACCAAGTTAACCAACAATGGAATTCTAGAAGTTCTCACAACAACATGGTATAATGGTATATATACATAGCCAAAGGAATACATATATCAATATCCAACCTTAACACCAGTCCAACCTCAACACCAATAATAGAGGCTAAGCTCCTTTCGGCCAAACAAAGGGAGTCGAAGCTCATCAATTTCGCCGAACAATAGTACAATATATTCAAGGAAATATATATATATATATATATATATATATATATATATATATATATATATATATATATATATATATATATATATATATATAGCCAAAGGAATACATATATCAATATCCAACCTTAACACCAGTCCAACCTCAACACCAATAATAGAGGCTAAGCTCCTTTCGGCCAAACAAAGGGAGTCGAAGCTCATCAATTTCGCCGAACAATAGTACAATATATTCAAGGAAATATATATATATATACACCGACATGTATCACACAGTTCAAATCAATATCCAAGAACTAGGATTCATGGGAGAATAACAATCCATAATTGAGGCAAAGGAATACACAATGTACTGGATTAACTCAACGTTGCACCAAAGGCTGACCAACAGTGCACCAGCGGCAATGAAGTAACATACTGGACGTAGCAGAAGAGGAAAGCACTCCACGGGGGTGATTGGCAGGAGCAAGGTGCCCGCCTCTCATTACAGCGAGGGTCACGGGGTGATTGGTGGGCACTGCCCACCCGCCAAACCCTCCATTCATAACCCTTGCGGGTTTGTTTCACGGGTGTCACCCACCCGTGTCTCACCCCAGCAAGGCAACAGAACAACATCTCAGCTCAACAGACAATAGCTCAAACAATAGCTTAGATAGTGGACAACAAGATCAATACAATAGCCAAAATAACATCAGAAATCCTTTAACAACACTACCAAAATTATAAGGATTGAAGAATGAAGGACATAGCTCAATATCAACACAATAACTCATCCAGAACAAGACATTTATCAAGAATAAACATCAAAACATGCTCAGGGATTTCAAGAACATCAACAACACATATATAAGAGTGGAAATAAGTTTTGATGGACATGAAGTTTACCTCTCAAGCTAGCAATCCAACTTCAACCTCCAAGCTATCACCCTAGCAACTCTTCTTCCTCTTGATCCTCTAAGAACCCAAAACCCCAATGTAGAAGAATGAAATGTGCTATAAAGATGGTGGAATAATATAGGAAAATGCAATTCTTTCGGAACCTCTTTATCTGTCTTACGAAACCTTGCTTCTTTTTTGGGCGTTTCTTCATCTGGTGGCCGCCAGCCTCTGGCCAAAGCTTTGAGCCTTTGACGGAGCTTCGTCTCTGGGCCCGCGGTCTCCTTTTTTTTTTTTTTTTTTTTTTTTTTTTTATAAATTTTTTTTGTTTTTTAATTTCATAATAAAGTCTACTGCTGATTCAGCCACCAACCCTTCAAGAAAGTTGTGGTAGTTCCAAAGATCTAAAGTTTAAGGATTCCGCTAGATCGGGATAAAGAGGTGGTTTGATTCTAGTGGATCCGTAAAACAAAGTTCAAGAGGTGTACTGGTGCGCTTCTCTTTTCTTTTGTGTTTTTTTTTTTTTTCTGTATTTTTCTCTCTTTTGTGTGACGAGTTTGTTTTCATCTCGTTTCTTTTGGCGAGTTCTTTTCTTCATAAATGTGAAACATATAAGTTGATCATAGCGTATGTGAACTTCATCCTGGGTGACAAAGATGATAATGTAAAAGAGCATCTGCAGTTCAGCTCGATGGATATATTGTCAATGAACGATATATGGAAAACATATACTCAGATGGAAAACATATACTCAGGTGGTGTACAAGACTTTTCAACCAAAGTCAGTCTTGACTACGTTTGATCAATTCTTCAATGATATTAAAGAAGTGTTAAATTCATCTAACGAATTCAGATCAGCTTCAAATTTGTGAAACAGTTCGGGAATCAAGTTACTAGGAAAGTTGTTTCTATGTCAGAATGTAAGGAATGGTATACCGTTCCATCGATCTTATTTGTAATCGTTTCAGCTTATGATTAAATGAATGATCCTCTTTATTTTCAAAAAAAAAAATGAAAATGCAAATTAAAAGAAAGGGAGATCTTACCAAATAATCCTAGGTTGAAGATGAATAAAAGATAGAGCTGGGTAGTATTTCCCTTGAATAAAATGGAGATGAATTTATAGTGGATGGGGAGAGGAAATGGCGTGAATGGAGTGAGGAGAAAGACAAACTGTGAGTGTAGTCTAGGATATATTATAAGAGTGGATAGAATACATTAGATATACATGTTTGTATATATTAGGTCAATCATTATTGTGTGGACCATGGTCTACACAAGTTGTGTGGACCTTATTTTGTATACTGTTAAATAATGTACATTCAGTATAAAAATAATGTACATTCAGTACAAAAATAATGTACATTTAATATATTAAAAATGTACTTTTTGTTATGGTCCACATAACATTGTGTAAACCATAGTCCACACAATAATTTGCCATATTAGGTTAGGACATAGGCAATAGTTATGCTGTGCATCCGTATGCACCATGCATGGTGCATACGGATGCCAAAACGACGTCGTTTTATTAAAAAACGCGCGTCTCCCCTTTAAAAAAAATTCAGGTTCGATTCCCAGCAACAACATTATATTGTTCATTCATTCTGTAATTTTAGTTCATAGATTATGGAATTATAGTTTATTGATTATGGAATTATAGTTCATCGATTATGGAATTGTAGTTCATCGATTCTGAAATTTTAGTTTATAGATTATGGAATTTTAGTTCATTCATTCTGGAATTTTTAGTTCATAGATTAGATTATGGAATTATAATTCATTGATTATGGAATTATAGTTCATCGATTATGGAATTACAGTTCATCGATTATGGAATTTTAGTTCATATTTTGTTGCTGGGAATCGAATCTGATTTTTTTTTAAGGGGAGACGCGCGTTTTATTAAAACGACGTCGTTTTTGCATCCGTATGCACCATGCATGGTGCATACGAATGCACAACATAATTTGCCGGACATAGGAGAATAGGAAAGTGGGTTATAACATATACTACATGGGCTATTTCATTTTGGCTCTGTTTGGCAAACCTAGCTGAAAAGCTATAAGCTAGGAGCTGATAGCTGAAAAGGAGCTGAAAGCTGAAAAGCTATAAGCTCGGAGCTGAAAATTGAAGAGCTGTTAAGCTAGCTGTTATAATTGAAAGTGTTTGGTAAAATTAGATTTTTGATAAGTTGATAAATGTAAAAAGACTAAAAATGGCATCTTCATAAAATTTAAATTAGTTTGTTTACATATTAAAATTTAACATTTCGTCTTCCAAAAAAAGTAAACACTTTTTAAAATAAAACTATTAGCATGATCATGATCTAGCATCGCATAATGAAGTAGCAATATTGTGGCCATAATAACATCAATTTGGGTCTCCTCACTAAACTGCGGCATTTTAGCAAGTATCTTCCATCTCTTATTCAATACTTCAAACGATCTCTCAATACAACTTCGAAGAGAAGAATGTGCACGATTGAATGCTTCTTGAGCATTAGTTGGCGGCTCTTGTTCAAATTGAGATTGAAGCCATATTGCTAATTTAAAAATAACATTAATACTAATAATAATAATAATAATAATAATAATAATAATAATAATAAGCTAAAGTTTCAACATAATTGTTTAGCAGGAAACAAGACTAAGGAAGGGATTGACGTGAAAGTTAGGATAGGGGAAGAGAAAGAGTTTTAGTTCATAAGGTTAAAATATGTCATTACTTTAAAATAATAAGGGTAAAGATGGAAAAAAAGTTAGGAAGCTAGTAGCTTATTTTGAAAAGCTACCTAAAGTAGCGTTTCAAAATAAGCTCTTATTTTAAGCTAGGAGCTTATTTTGGGAACATTACCAAACAAGCTTATAGCTAATTAGTAGCTTAAAATAAGCTATAAGCTCCTAGCTTAGCGTTGCCAAACAGAGCCTTTATAACAATTCCAGGCTTATTTTATAATGATTGGGATAGTAAGGCTGAATAAATATAATTAGAATGAGAAGACTTAAGTCCACAAATATATAAAAAGGTCTAATTGTTATGCCGTGGAACCGTGTCCACCTTGTAAGGTGAACACGGTTCTATGTTCATAATTACTGAATTTTATATTCATAATTATAAAATTCTATGTTCATAATTTTTGAACTTCATATTCACAATTATTGAACTCTATATTCACAATTATAGAACTCTATGTTTATAATTTTTGAACTTCATATGTCACAATTATTGAACTCTATATTCACAATTATAGAACTCTGTGTTCATAACTCTAGAACTATATGTTCATAATTTTTGAACACTATATTCACAATTATGACAGTTTTAAAACATGTCCACCTTTCAAGATGGACACGGTTTCACAACATAATTTGTCAAAAAGGTCTTAGAAAGGTGAATATATATTATAAAAATTCTTATGAGTTGGACTTAACATTAATTAAAGAAGAATAAATCATAATTACAAATACTAATTATGGAATAAATAATACGGGGTGTCACAGTATTAGTGTATAATTTACAGTTCAAATTTGAATGAAAAAAAGAAAAAAACTATATCTAATACATACATACATACATATTATGTACTACTACGTCCTAGTGATAGGTAATGTGAAGATGAGAAGAATGAGTTGTTGGAAATGAGTTGGTTGTGACATTAATCCTCGTTGGAAGCGGCGGCACGAGGGTCCTGAGGAGGATTGACAGAAATCCATAGCAGAGAAGTTGTGATGGAAAGCAGCCCAGTCCAGACATAAACAATGGTGGGAACTTTCCCTTTTCTCCCCATCAGCCCTTTAGCAAAAGGATAGAGATGAGCCAGCACCCAGAAGCTGAAGAACGCGCCGCCAAACAGCTTATTCCACTGCGGAATCACGCTGTAGATCTGCCTGGAACACCCAATCACCAGCGCGAAGATGTTCACCACCAGGATGGTTAATGGCATGATGAAAAGACTGGTCCATTTCACCACGTAAAGGTCAGCGTATATGTCGTCTTCATCCTCCGCCGCAGATTTGGAGGTGAGCGTGAATGAGATCTCGATCCCGGCTATGACTTTCAGCAGGCCTTGCAGCACCGCCGCCAGGTGGGCGCTGGTGCCGCCGATGAGCCAGAACTGCTCGTTTCTCCAGAGCTCCTCCAGGCCGATGCGCGCCCACTTGACTTCCAGGAGGGAGATGAGCATGAGCGTGACGGTGATGATGAGGAGATAGCAAAGGAACTCGGCGTCTAAGGTCTGGACGATGAACTGGCCGGTGAAGTTGCACATGGCGGGGATGAAGCAGTAGACGACGAGGAAGATGGAGGTGAAGGGGTAGACGCCGACGTTGAAGTAGGCGATTCGCTGGAGGAACTTGAGGCGGCGGCTGGCTAGAGCGGGGTTGTTTCGGGAGAAGAAGATCTCCACGGAGCCCGTTGCCCACCGGAGGACTTGATGCAGACGGTCGGTGAGATTGATCGGAGCAGTGCCGCGAAAAGCGTCCCGCTTGGTGATGCAGTATATAGATCGCCAGCCGCGGTTGTGCATCCGGTAACCTGTCACCACATCCTCCGTCACTGATCCGTAAATCCACCCTACTCTGTCTCCCCATTCAGTTTTGTCCTCGAACCTGCACCACACCAGAAATTTCATCTAATCCGGCGACTAGGGTTATTAAGTAGTTTGGCCGGACTAAACAAATAGTCAACAAACTCTATGCCTAATATAAATCTGAATTGATGGAATACATATATTTATTATATAGCACATTCAGTTAGGGTACTCATGCTGTTCGGTAGTCACCTATACACCATTTTCCGAGTTAGTATGAGGCAAAATATGGCGAACGATTTACCGTCATGCTGCTCGGGAGACACCTATATACCATCTGGGGTTCTGAGTTAGTATGAGGTAAAATATGCCTAACTGTCTACCATCATGCTGCTCAGGAGACACCTATATACCATTTGGGGTTCTAAGTTAGTATAAGACAAAATATGGCTAATGGTCTGCTCGGGAGACACCTATATACCATCTAGGGTTCTGAGTTAGTATGAGGCAAAATATGGCTAACGGTCATGCTGCTCGGGAGACACCTATATACCATCTAGAGTTCTGAGTTAGTATGAGGCAAAATATGGGCTAACGGTCTACCGTCATGCTGCTCAGGAGACACCTATATACCAGTGAGCACCTATATACCATCTGGGGTTCTGAGTTAGTATGAGACAAAATATGGCTAACGGTCTACTGTTATGCTGCTCAGGAGACAACTATAAACCATGTAGGGTTCTGAGTTAGTATGAGGCAAAATAGAGGCAACTGCTCCCACTTATACGAGGGGTCAGGTTTCTCGTATACTATTAGATCCGCTTATACCAGATCAAGTTTTTCGTATACTATTAGATTATTTATATCTAACATTGGTTAGAAATGAAAACCCTAATAGTACTAGTATTGAGCTGAGAGCCTGAGACAGGGATAGGGAAGTACCAACAAGACACAACCGCGATGGCCTCAGCTACAGTTGGCGCATCAAGGGGAGTTCGAGGAGCAAGCAACGCCCCAGGAGGGCGGCCGTTCTTGACGGAGACGTGATCGGCAAGCGGCCGTCCTTGAAACTCAGCAACCGCGATTGATTCATTGAACATGGTGGAATTTCCAAACTTCTCCGGCAATGCCAAGTCGGGATGGTCAGTTAGGGGCTCAGAATCGTCGTCTTTCTCACCCCATTTCTTCTTATTCTGTCCAAAAATCCCCCAATACTCTCTCGGTCGCGGCGGGTTAAACCCATACAGTGCGTACCGCCGGAACATACACCCCGTCCCCACGTACACCGGACCTTGCAGCCCGTCCAGTGCTCTCATATTCCCGTCGAAAAACACCGTGTTGTGATTCGCGTATCTATCCGACGGATCAATTCCTTCGAATCTCTGCGGGAATTGGAGGTAGCAGATGCGATCGCCACCGCGATCCATCATGTAGCATATCCCCTCGCGAAGCGCCATGGAGTTGTATACGTAATGGTCGCAATCCAGGTTGAGAATGAATGGGCCATTGGAAAGAATAGCAGAAGCTCTCACCAACGCGTTCATGGCGCCCGCCTTCTTGTTATGGTCGTAGCCGGGGCGTTTCTCTCGCGAAACGTAGGCGAACATCGGAAGCCGGATGTCTATGCCGGTGAAGTCTAGCTTCTTCTCATCGGCTTCCCCCATTACAGGATCGTACTCCGGGATCTTGCTCATTATCTGTAAAATTCCGGCGTGATCTCCCTTTTTGTGATCGGCTATTGGATCAAACCATGTCCCTGGCCAGTGTGTGGAATCCGCCATCCATGTAGCCTTTTCGTATTCAATGGTCTCGCCGGGAGGAATTACGCCGCCGTTCTTCTCCTTCACCGCCGCCTTTTCCTTCATTTCTTCCTTCCTGTTGTGCATGGCGCACCGTTTCTTGATCACCTCCGGCAAGCCGTTGATCCGCACCTTGAACTCGTCGTACTCTCGCTTGATCCACCGCCGATCCTTGACGAAATCATGGCGCTTCTTGTGTCTGGTGGGATCGCTTTTCTGGGCGAAGTAACTGTCCGGATTCCGGGGTTCAATATTGTGCTTTCGGCAGAAAGGCACCCAAACCTTGGCGAACTCCACCGCCTCCGCCATGGCCTCGAACGTAAGGATGGCGCCGCCGTCGTCGGAGATGTAAACGAAGAGTTTCTCCACGGGGTATTGACAGGCCATGATGGAAAGGATAGTGTTGGCGGTGACAAGCGGCGGCTCTTTCTCCGGGTCCGCCGTGGAAATGAAAATGTCCATCCCCGGGAGGTCGGAGCGACCATTTGGGTTGGTCGGAGATACCGTTTCGAACTTTTCCTTCAGGGCATTCAAATCGGCTGTCCGGTCTATCGGATTCACCTTCGGAAATATATCAAGAATCCATGAAAACGCAAACCATAATTCGCAGACGATAGATATCGCCCATAACCACATCGCATCACGATTCGGATTCTGAATCCGCCATGTTAGAAAGAGAAACAGAGCTACCAACCGGATCGCTATGAGTACTCTGTAGGGGCTAATGATTCCGCCGGAAATCTGCACTTTCCGGGTAATCGGTTTCCATGGCTTATCCATGAAATCCGACATGGACATCCCGGTATCATGATCATACGAATCCTCATCTTGCCAATACGCATTCCCAATCCCATATTTCCCTTTGGATTCAAACAGCCAACGGTTGTGATCAAAGTCCCCCGTTTGGGCCCTCATCAACATCGACTTGTTATTGCTCTTATTCACCCCCGCCGTCCCCTTCCCGCTCCCTCCCCCGCCGCCCCCCTCCTCGGCACCGCCGTTCCTCATCCGCTGCTCCCCGCGGAACCTCGAAACCGGCCCGTCCGGCTTGTCCCCGCTCGCGTTCACATTATTACCGGCTCCCGGTTGGTTGTCCGGCGTCGGAGGCATCATCACGGTATAATTCGTGTTGTCGGATGTCTTTCTTGGGTTCCCGGAGGTGGACATTATAATTGTGATGGGTGTTCGTGAAGATTAATGAAGAACTTAACGTACGTAGTGTATGTTCCCATGCATGCAAGGAGAGAGGATTATATTAACGTAGGACCTTTGATGAAGACATTGGATGAATATTGAATATATAGTTGAAAAATTGAAGACAGACTTTAAGTATTAGCGGTCATAGGTTTGTCATGCTAGTTGATTTTCACGAGACTAAACAATTTTCCACATTTCACGCTTCGCCTCTCTCACTAAAATAACAAATTAATTCAGCATCATTCAACGTTAATTAATTAGTATGTATAATCTTGGAATTAAAATTTAAATTAAAAAAAAAAAAACAAATTGTATTGTTTTCACATAAAAGAGGTGGACGATATACTTTTGTTGATCTAGAAAGACTAAAATTGATACTATATAAGTATATAGTATAACAATCAAAGTAATTAATTCCTCACCAAAAAAAAAAAAAATCATAGTAATTAATTAAAGTACGTAGTCGATTTTAAAATCATAGATAAGAAGAATATAAAAATTACTATGAGCATGAAGAGCCAATTTAATGAGAAAATAACTTTAATTCCAAATGAGTTCTACTACATGTATTTTATATGTCTAGTCCCTCACTTTTATTTCATGATTAGTTATTTTTATTCCGTGAGTCCTAATGAAAATGTCAACATCACAATTTTGTGAGATGGAGTAAGGTTGGAAGTAGAATTTGAGAGTAGGAGTAGTATTTTTCATTCCAAATTGACATGTAATTCCATGTATTTCTTAATGAAAATACTATGTAGATTCATATTTTCTACTCTCAACTCTAAAATTCTTGAAATTAATACTTTTATGGGGATCCTCATGATGAAAATATATGAAAAGGGTCAAATTGCCCCCTAAGTCAAGCGAATAGTGCAATTGAGCCCCTTAAGTTTAAAAAAAAAAAAATCATTTAAATCCCTAAACCTTTTAAAAAGTTCAAAATTAAGTTCAAAATTACATGTTTGGCAGGTTAGTGCTTTCTAATGCTGACATTGTCTCTTTTTTAATTTTTTGTTTATCTTTATTATTATTATTATTATTATTATTATTATTATTATTATTATTATTATATTTTATTTTATTTTGATTCTTCATACAGCCATGGTTGTCAAAAATGATGGTGGTGGCTATCCGGCAGTCACGATTGTCCTAAAAGATGACCATGGCTGTCTAGACAACCATGACCGTCTAAAAAAATTAAAAAATTTAGAATTTTTTTTTACAGCCATGGCTATCAGGCGATAGCCATGATGGTAAAAAATGGTGGCCGTGGCTATCTGGCAGCCACAGTTGTCCTAAAAGACGTCATGGCCGTCTTAAAAAATTCAAAAATTTTGATTTTTTTTATACAGTCATAGCTATCTTCTTTCAAGACTCGTGGCTGCAGAGGTAGTGAAACGCGCAGGGATAAATTGAAAAATCGTGATAATAGAGAAGAGAAGGAGGAAAGCAGTGAGGAGAAGCTTTAGCTCCAGTGCACACTTCTAGACCACCCCAACAAACATCTTCCTATCATTGCCGCCGCCGGCGGCACCACCACCAGTGGCGGACCCAGAAAATTTTGTCAGTGGGGGCGAAACATTAAAACAAAGAGTAAGTTTGAAAAAAAAAAAAAATGAAACACTAACCATAAATATTGTTGGATATAGCGAAAAATAAAACATATAAAAACTTTATAAAAATATTCATAACAAAATATGAAACATAATTAATTTGATAAAATAATTCAAATATAAAACACATTATAAATTACACATCCCACTATTAATATAAAAGAAAGTCATAGTATGTAGCTACCGGATAGCCACGACTATAATTTTTTACAATAATGGCTGTCCTTGAATGAGTATATCCACCGGCGGTTGTATGAAGAATTAAAATAAAATAATAATAATAATAATAATAATAATAATAATAATAATAATAATATAAAAATATATTAACAAAAAAAATTAAAAAGAGACACATGTCAATCATTAGAAAGCACTAACCTACCAAATAAGTAATAGTATGTAGCTAGATGCCCCTTTCGATTGGGTAGAGGTGTGCTATTTGTACTCGAGTTTATGACTAAATGACATGACGGTTGATGGCAAGTGGAGTCGACATGGAGCATCCTTATAGGTGGAGGAGGATCGTCGGCTAGCTTGCTCGGTAGTCCCATCAAATGGTGTGTTAGGCTTAGCATGAAGCTACTTCAATAGTCTAGGGAGCATAGGCTCTACCTGGTCAACCGAACTAGTTGGTCGGTCAATTGAGATGACTTCCATGAATTGACTCTTGGTCTTACTTCTTGGTCTTATTGTTCGGGTTATTAGGACTAGTGTTGTCAAAATCCCGCCTATGCGTCGACCGACCGCCTAGTGTATCACCACAATCGGTGGTCTAGACGGCCGATTAGCGCCGCCTAAGTCACTTAGGCACTGAGCCACTGACCGTCTAGGTTTCATAGGTATCGACTTGGCCGCCTATTCGGCTGATTAACTATTTAAAAAAAAATTTATTTAACACAAAACAACATCATTTTGAGCGAAATAATTTTAAAATTTTCAAACTCTAGATGTTTTTTAGGTTAATACTTAATATTTTAGTTGTTGGTTTTAGGGTTTTTGGGCCCAGAGAGGTCCAACACAACCTTGATTGGTAGATTCACCTTTCAAAATAGAAGGGAAAAGATAGCTCTTGTAAGCGTGTATATTCTCTTGGCCTCAACTTATCGTCCCCCCTTACATCCTTGAGGAGTCCCTTTTTATAGGGGGCCTCCTCAGAATTATTCAAAACATACATTTAAAGCCATAAAGTGGCCTATTAACTCTAAGGACCGTTGGGCTGCCGTTACTGGGTCTCCCAACGGCTTGCTGACTGGGTTCCTTAAATGGCTCTTTTAATGCTCCAACGGCTATCCTCGTACCGCCTGCCTACTCGTGCCGAGCTCGCACTCGCGCCGAGCCTGGGCTCGAACCGACCTCTGTTTCTGGACTATTTTCCCTTCTGGATTTGGCCTTCTCTCCTCTTGGGCCTCTCTCCCCTTGGGCCTCTCTTCTTCCTCTCTTGGGCCCGAGCCCACGGGGTTCACACCCAATAATTAGTATTAACTATTAAAGTATTAAATTAGTTTATAATAATTAGTCTTAAAAAAATTAAACAATTTAAAAAAAAATACACGGGCGCCGATTAATTGCCGCCTAGACGCCCTCCAGGCACCCGAGGAGGCATAGCGATTTTTTCAACCATAATTACGACAATTAATTTTATTTTTTTTTTATAATCCCATCAATAATCAAGTGACTATTTTTATCCCTTAAATATATCTAGGAACGAAAATAACCACTTAATAACTAATTAAGAAATACATTTGTAATGCCCGCATGGGCAGCTTAATAGGTCATAAGGATGAAGTTTTGGAAGAATGACGGCAGTGCGGGAACAACCTCTCAAAATGAGGGGGCTCAGTTGAGTTATACATTTGTAACAATATTCTCTTTGTTAATTATGCTCGTATTTTTACTAGTCAAATCAAATGTTATTCTAAAAGCGAAGTGGCCTTATTTCATTAGAGCAACCATATCAATTGAAGATTTTATTTGGTTTTTGTCATACACATGTAGGAAAGAGAGGGAGAAGGAGAGGAAAGCAAAGAAAAATAAAAAAAATAAAAAAAAGACAAACAAAAACTGACCATCAAAAAAGAAAAAAAAAAAGACCTATTTACGCGCCTAGCGGTGCGTGCATTGCACGAGCCAGCTAGGCGCAGCAGGTGCGCGAAACGCGCACATGCCAGCTTATTTTTCTCATTTCATCACAAAGCTTGGGACTCAAAAAAAACAAAAAACAAAAAAACAAAAAAAAAAAAAAAAACAAAAACAAAAATTGCAGGAATAAAACCCCACAAAAATCACTTCTCCCATTTGTTAAAAAATCATATGTTAATTTTTTCTTCTTAAAAAACTAAGCAAAAATCACTTATGTGGTTGCTTAGAGTTCTAAAAGTGAAGTTGCCCTATTTTCAAAAAAGTGAAGTGGCCCTATTTTATTAATATGAAGGATTTGTAATTTTTTTTTTCATTTTTGATTTTATTACAAAATTTAAGTTATTATTTTTCATTCAATTTTATTAATTTTAATGTATAGAACATAAATATATTTAAAATTTAATTACTTTTTCAAATGAAGATTGACTATGTCATTAATGTGATCTTCGGAAAAGAGGTTTAGAAACTGATTAGCCATAGCTTTTGAGGACGATAGAGCGTTAACTTGACTCACTATGTCATCCCCATAGACAGCACAAAAAATGATACGATTAATTTTCGAGTGTCCAAACTAGGCTAGACCTTTCCGGTTCTCCTATCTTGCATTCGGGTTTATGAGTTTGGTTGGTCGAGTCTGGAAGATGAGTTATTCTCCTCGAATAGGTCTCTGGTAGTTTATGAAGTAAAAGTCACCCATTTAAGTAATACATGCGCCTTATATAGGCAGACTTTGGGACACATGTTGGGGCTCCGGCATGTTCCACACGTGGTGAATGTGAGTTTGTCGGTCAATGGGGTGATGTCAAGTGTTTCAATATAAAAGAAAAGAGCGATAGGATGTGATTTGACCATTCTCTGGATTGGTAATTATGCATAGCAGACTGGTAGGGTGAATATTTATTATCCTAATCCCTAGAGATGACTTCTTAGTTATATGTGATGAGGTGATCAGGAAATGCCCTAAAGGGATCCAATGGTGTTTGGCATCAATCAGTCTCGATAGACTCTGGTCGGTTTATCTAGCCCATATCCGGTCGGGTGCGTACAAGCCCTATATATGTGTGTGCAACAAAAATAAAAATAAAATAAAAATAGAAAACCAAAAAAAAAAAAAAAAAAAAAAAAAAAAAAAAAAAAAAAAATTGAGAATCCACCATGCCACATATGATGCCCGCCAAGTGCACTTGTGCTGCACAAACAACTTTTCTAACTTTT